AATGCAGATCACATCAACGAAAGTTGATTCTCGTGTCAAATATATGTGAATTCAGCTGTAAAATTACTGGATATTTATCTTAAACAACTTTGCTGAGAGGGACCTACTGTAAATGTGACAACCTCATGCTTCCCAGATCTTTGACTTTGAAGAATCTTCCCATGAGCGTAAAGCCTAGGAGAGGTCCAAAGCAAAGGTTATAGCAATCTTTATTCTCAGGCTCAGCAGATTAAACCCAGGACTCTGGTTCCACCCAACTGGCGCAAGAAACCTGTCATATGGTGTACTTTTCCCGTCCCTTGGGTGTAGGGGCTCTCTGGGGGAACTGTAAACCAGGAGGGATGGGATTGGGAGCCAGCCAGTCCTGGTAATTAGTTCTGTGAAATGCTCATTTGTAGCCAGGTTTTATAAACTTCCAATTATACAGCAAAACCAGGCTTTGAGTGTTTAGAATTCCCCACCTAATCATAAAGCGTTTCTTATTTTCACCAACAGTGAAGGGTTGGTAAGCACTTGTCAGAGTCTAAGCACAGTCCGAAGCCCTCTTGTTCAGACCCTTCTGCTGCTGACACGGAAGTTAACACAGAGGAGACTTCTGTCTTAGCCATAATTCCAGCTGTACAACTCAGTAGCCCCATTCACTTTCACGGTTCAAGACGTACTGCTGACCTTGGGTTTCTGTTTTTGCTTTCCTCTTAGGATTACCTGGGAACTTTTGGTAGTTTCAACTCTTTAACCTTTTCCTTGCTGTGTATGAGGAAAGCTAAAGCTGTTATCAACTTCTTATTCTACGGATACTAACACGGGTTTTCAGTGTTTGTTTGTTTTTATTATTATTAATTTTGCGTGATGTGAATACCCTCACCCATCAATATTTGTATTATGGTGCTATATATTTGGTAATCCTTTAATATTGGGGAGGGATTTTTAAAATACTGTGATTAAACTGGGTTTCTTCCTTTTATTTTTTTTTTCATATTTTAAATAAAGCCACAGTCATTTATACGAAAGAATCTGTCCCTGAGCAAACCTCTCAAGGACAGAGGTCAAAAGTAAACTACATAAGGTTTTTACATCCTTTCTGTATGTATTTGATATATAGATCAATATCTGTACAAATTTAATGTTTTATTTTCTGGTAACTTGTGATCATTGAGAAAGTATTTGAAACTTTCTCATAAAAATGTATATACTGGCGTGAAAACCTTCAGAGAAATTTATGTTCCTTTCATTTTTACCAAAATGCAGATTTCCAGCATGGATGTGAAAAGCATTAAAATTATAACTTTGTGTACAAGATGAAAATAATTCACTAAATTTGCCCTTTTTTACACAAAATAAAATGTTAAAATTAAGCTGGTTTTGGTCGACCTTTTTTTTTTACATTTATTTATTTGGGGAGGGTGTGTGCCATGGAGCACATTTGAAGACCAGAGGACAACTTGCAGAAGTTAGTTTTTCTTTCCATATATGGATCCCAGGGATAGAACTCAGGTTATCAGCCTCAACAGCAATGTGGAATCCCAGAATGGAACTGATCAAACTTAGTCAGGGTTGCACAGCAAGCACTTTTACCCACTGAGACATCTCACCTGCCCTTGATCATTTCTTTTTAATAATGCTGTAGTATGGGAAAGGGTTTATTAAAAATACTGAGTGTTGGCTGGGTGTGGTGGCACACGCCTTTAATCGCAGCAGGTGGATCTCTGTGTGGTAGAGGCCAGCCTGGTCTGCGTACCAAGTTCCAGGTCAGCCAGGGCTACATGGTAAGAATCTATCTGGAATAAAAAAAAAATTAAAATACCGAGTGCCTTCTATAAGCAGCATTTAGAGGCCACTATCAAAGTTGGGTCAGAGATAGACAGATACCGTCTCAGAAAAAAAAAAAAAAAAGATGGGTCAGGTCTTTCTGCAAGCAATCCTCTATAACAAAATAAAGCAAGTGGCTGCTGTGAGGAGGACTTTCCCACTGTGTAGCAGGGAAGCAGGAGAATATCGGCAGATGTGGACAAGGCCACATTTGAGCTGGGATTTCACAGACAAGTGGGAAAAGGGCCACAGCAGGAGCAAAGGTAAGTAGTTCCAGGGTATCCAATGCCCTCTTCTGGCCTCCACAGGCATTGCATGCACAGGTGCACTTACATGCATGTGGGCTCATACACATAAAAATAAAATTTTAGTAGGAGATTTTGTGTGAGATGCTAGGGATCCAACCCAGGGCCTCAAGTACACTAGACCACTAGACAAGTGTTTTACACTGAGCTGTGCCCCCAGCCCCATGTCAACTTTTTTTCTTTTTTTTTCCTTTTTTTTTTTTTTGAGTTGGGGTCCCGTTATGTAGCCCTGGCTGGCCTGGAACTCAGAAATTGCTTGTCCCACCTGCTTGGAATTAAAGACCTGTACAGCCACATCTGGTCCCACCTCAACATTTTTGACATCAGATATTTGGAGTTGTTTCAAAAAAACACCAAGTAGAACTCCAGTAGACTTCAGCTGGGTATCTTCTTACTCAGGTAAGTTCTAATGAAGCTTTTCCATAGCATGCACACCACATATTTTGATGCCCACTATGGCAAAATGGAGGCAGGGAGGTTAGTTCTGACAACTGTACTTGGATATAGCATCAGACCTCACAAGACTTTCCAACTTTTTGTTTTGTGTTTTATTTTTTATGTGCATGAGTATATTGCCTGCATGTGTGTAAGTACACCCGTATCATGCAGTCGTCAGGAGGTGACAAATGCCCTGGAACTGGAGTTAGTTAGCCACCATGTGGGTTCTGGGACTCAAACCCGGGTTCTCTGCAAGAGCAACCACTGCTCTAAACCCTGAGCCATCTCTCCAGCCCCAAGACTTGTCAACTTTTAAAACTATTAGAAACCCTTGGTTGTGACTTGTAATTCTAACAGCAGCATATCAGGGCTTAATTTTCTAGACAAGCTCATGAAACCTGAGAAACTTCTATATAAAAGAATTATAGTACCGGCTAGTAATTTCAACTACTTAGAAAGCTAAGGCAAGATCAAGAGTTCAAAATCTGTCCGGACTTGAGAGAACTACGGGCCAGATTGAGCAATTTAGTGAGACCCTGTCTCAAAAGGTAAAGAAGGGAAACTCAACATGATGGCACATGCCTTTAATCCCAACACTCAGGAGGCAGGTTCCTGGTCAGATGGGGTCAAAAAAAAAGGGGGGTGAAGAGGGAGCTAGCAAGATGGCTTAGCCAGTAAAAGTGCCTGCCACCAAGCTTGACAACTTGATTTCAATCCCCAGAACCCACATGGAGAGAGCCAAGTCCAAGTCCCTAAGTTGTCCTCTGACTATTGCACATGATGTGATATTCATGTACCCTACACACACACACACACACACACACACACACACTTTTTTATATTTTAATGTGCACTGCCTGCATGTATTTAAGTGTACCCGTATCATGCAATACCCTCGGAGGTCAGAAGAGGGCACTGGATCCCCAGAATTGGAGTTACAGTTGCTAACTGCCATGTGGGTGCTGGGAATTGAACCCAGGTCTTCTGCAAAAGTAGCCAGTGTGCTTAACTGCTGATTCATCTCTCCAGCCCCCAAATAATTTTTTTTAAGAAAAAAGGGCCAGGACATAGAGAAGCCCTGGATTTGATTCCCCAGCATCACAAAGGAGAGTAAAACATATAGAAAGGACTAGCACCTTAGGAATGTCGGTACCCCCAAACCCCATCTTTTTGGGTTCCTGTGGATTTCGTTACCTAGGCATGATTGGTCACATCATTGGCCATTGGTGACAGCTCAACCTTTAGTTCCTCAACTTCCCTACCTGAAGTGTTGGATGAAAATGAAAGTTCCCATGCTCAATTAATCACAAATTGATTTCCTCTAGCAACCAGCACCTCCCCACATCATCTCAGCTTAAAGACCTTTCACCAAAGGGATTCAAAGAGTTTTTAGGAGCTGTATGGCAGAAATGAGCTGATAAATGGACTGGTTATATCACAATGTCACTGTATTTGGGGTAGCAGTGTACCTAGCAAAGTTAATAGTGTTCAGTCTTAACATGGGAGGGAGTTTTCACCAATCTTTGTCTTGAGACAAGGTCTCCGTAACTCCAGGCTGGTCTCAAACTCAAGGCAATCCTTCTGCTCCAGCCTCCCGATATAACTAAATTAACCTCAAAAGCAGAGAATATGAGTCTTTAAACCACTCTCTGCTTCTAGTCCCCACTCCTCGAACAAGAAAAAGCACACTAATCTCTAATTCCATGCTGGTGATGAGCCAAAATTTCCTATTTATATATGAATGAATATATTCATAATTTCACATATATATTATCCAAGGGGGCAGGAGAGATGGCTGTGGCTAACAGTGCATACTACTCTTTCAGAGGTTCTAAGTTTAACTCCCAAAACTCACATTGGATGGCTCTCAACAACCTGTAGCTCCACAGATTTTTACACATTCTGCCCTCCCAAGGGTACACACACATACACATACACATAGTATAAAAAATAAAACATCTCACTGGGCATGGTGGGGCACGCCTTTAATCCCAGCACTTGGGAGGCAGAGGCAGGTGATCTCTGAGTTCCAGGCTAGCCTGGTCTACATACTAAGTTCCAGCTGGGGCTGCAGGGATGCTTCTGTCCTTGTGTGCTAGGCACCACACATTGCTTTTCTATACACTGTTTGATCCAGTGGTATCCTCATTTTACCTTTAGACTCTTCTAAGTCTACTTGACTATTTCAGTGTTACCAAGTTTCCACACACCCTTCTTACAGAAACAAATGTTTCTAGATTAGCTAATTTGGTTTGGGATGTTCAATTCTTTACTAGGTATCCTTAAACAGCCCATGCCACACATAGATTCTCCCCTACTACTTTCCCTCCTTGATCTGTAGCTAGGTTCTGAGAAGGTTCAGAACAAATAGGAATGATGTGTGGATAACGCTAAGGCCAGGGAACTGAGTCACTTCTTTCAGCTCTATCAAAGGATCACAGGACACTGTCCAGTTCCAAAGGCTTTACTGGTAAATATGCTTTATAAAAGATGGTGCATATTATCGCTTGTGGTCAGTGGAATGAAGGGCTGTGTCCAGAGGCCCAACAGTAATGCTGAAAAGGGCTCTGTTTTGTCCACCTCTATTCGTAGACCCAGTCATGGGCACAAGACTTGTAGTCAATGAGTTCTTCAGGCTTAAACCACAGGCTGATCTCTTTCTCAGCACTTTTCACTGAATCACTGCCATGAATAATGTTCCTAAGAAAGAAAAATCATTTTTGTTAGTGTTTCAAAGTGCCAGAGTATATCTAATAGATAACAGCAAAGGGCAGACCCTGAAGACCTTTTCAGCCAAATTCCCACCTGAAGCAGCCCAAGTACTTTCTTTCAAACCCAACTATAGGGCTAGGATACAGCTCAATAGACGCTTGCCTAGCATGTGTAAGGCCCTAGATTCAATCTTCAGTACTACAAAAAAATGTGATTCAGCAGTTAAGAGCACTGGCTGCTTTTGCATAGGACACAGATTCTATTCCCAGCACCCATATAGCAACTAACAATTGTCCATAACACCAGTTCTAGGGGATCCAAGCCCTCTTCTGACCTCCTTGGACACTGCATGACCAAGGAGGGTGCACTTAGATACATGCAGGCAGTACACTCATATACATAAAAATTTTTTTTAATTTTAATTTTTAATTAAAACCAAATATAAAGCTATAAAGGTACTTGAATAAAAAGACTATTGGTTCAACTTACTATGCTTCCAAGTTTCTCTCCCTCAAAGCGTTTATTACCCAAGAGTGCTACTACTGCAAAAAATTCCTTCTTAAATTTCTGAATTTAAAAATAGGCAAACTTAGGGCTGGAGAGATGGCTCAGTGGTTAAGAGCACTGACCGCTCTTGCAGAGGACCCGGGTTCTCACATACATGCAGGCAATACACTTATACACATAAAATAAAAATAAATAAATTAAAAAAAAAAAAAGGCAAACTTGAGGCTGGAGAGATGGTTCAGCGGTTAAGAACAGTGACTGTTCTTGCAGAATACCCAGGTTCGAATCCCAGCACCCACATGGCAGCTAACAACTGTAACTCCAGTTCCAGGGGATCCAACAGCTTCTGTCTTCCACAGGCATTGCATGACATGAGCATACTTACCTACATGCAGGCAATACACAAGATAATAAATGAAATTTTTTTTTAAAACATAGGCAAACAATCCAAATATAAACCCAAACTAGATGTGATTTATTCATTCAAGGCCATGTCTGCATTATTTTTTTAAGACGTTTCTAGCCCAGGCTAGCCTCAAACTCCCCCTCTCTACTCCATTACGTAGAGAAAAATGACTTTGAACTTTTGATCATCCAGCCTCCACTTCCCAAATGCTGGAATTATAGCATGCGCCACCTCACCTGGTTTATGTGGTGTGCTGGGAATGAAAGCCAAGACCTCCTGTACACTAGGTAAGCACTCTTAGCAACTGAATATATCCTTAGCCCTCTGCATTTTCTAGATAAACAGTGACTTGAAAACCAAACCATGACATGACAGACATGCTTAGTACCCATCCTTTTATTCCATTTGAATCTCATAACTGCAAAGTTTTGGTACAGATTTTGTATGGGTGAAGGAATCAAAGGGTTAGGTGTCATAGCCATAGACACAGTACCAGAAAGGCAAATCTTGGTGAGGCTAGAACCCTTCCTTTCACCCTCAGGAACTAGCACATGCAGGTCAGGTTCCTCTGCAGTGTCCTGATTACTTTTTTAAGTAACATAAGAGAGTAAATTCATGAAAATTTTTATCTAGTGATAAGTTTCACATAATATTTAAGTTCATGTTTTTCTAAGATGTCTTGTTTTCCCAAGATGTCTTACACGCCACCTAAATTGAGTTGAAAAGTCATAAACCCACACCTTCTCAAGCACCCCCACACAGGACTTACCTGCCAACCTGAATGCAGAAATCCCCTCGAATGGTGCCTGGCTTAGAATCAGCTGGATTGGTCTCCCCCAGCATGACTCGGCCTGTCTTCACCACATTGAGCCCCTCCCAGACCTTGACCAAAGAAAAGATGAATTGTTGAGATAGAGCCATTAGGGACAAACACACACCTAACAGTATGTATCAGTGAGATCAACTAATGGCTGTTGATATTCTCACTATCAAATAACCCCCGGAGATAGCAAGAGCTTACATTATAAATTCCATTTCCATAGAGGATATATATATATATACACAAAATCTACTTGACTGAAGAATCACTATACAGCCACAAACTGAGAAACAGTAAAGAAACATGATGACTAGAGAAGCAGCAGAAAGGGCCTCCCAGCAGGCAAGGGCTAAGTCTCAAAGGGAAAGCATTCCAAGGAAGAGAAGGAAAAGGTTAGACTAGGAACGAGAAGTCCTTCAACAACTTCAGTGCCTGCCTCTCAATTGCACCCACCACTATATCTCCTATCAAGATATCAAAACCATCCAGAAGATAATTCCTCTGTAATATAGGACTCCAGCTGGCAGAGTATGTGTTACATACTTTTAAATATGATTTTATATGTAAATGTTATATTTTATATGAAAATGTTATATATGTTTTTTATTTTATGTATGAATGTTTGCCTGCAGGTACATAAATGCACCAAATGCATGCCTGGTGCCCATGGAGGCCCAAGGAGGACATTGGATCCTCTGGAACTAGAATTAAGGACTGGTGTTAGGCACCATGTGAGTGCTGGGAACCAAACCTGGGTCCTCTGGAAGAGCAGCAGGTACTCTTAACCACCAAGCCATCTCTCCAACCCCTTAATTTTTATTATTCTTAATTACATGTATGTGTGTGTCTGTGTACTAGAGTCAGGTGCTCCTGGGGGCAGAGGCATCAGATTCCCCTGGAGCTGTAGTTTCAAGCTGCTGAGAGTTGCCCAACATAGGGGCTAGGAACCAAACTCTGGTGTTCTCAAAGAGCAGCATATGGTCTTAACCACTGAGCCATCTCTCCAACCCAGAGAGATCTTTTTCCCTTTTTATTCCCAAACCCCTAGTTAACTCCAGCATGCCTATAATCCCAGTATTCAGAAAGCTAAAGTAGAAAGCTTGGGGTTCCAGACTAGCCTGGGCCAACACAGCAAGACCCTGCCAGAAAGAGAGAAAAGGGGGGTTGGATGGAAAGGAGCACAGATACTGAGCAGTTATCCTCCATTGTGCCCCAACAAGCACTCACCATAGCCACCACAGGCCCAGAGTTCATGTACTTCACCAGCCCTGAGAAGAAAGGCCGGTCTTTCAGGTCAATGTAGTGCTGCTTCAGATGCTCTTCAGAGGCCTGGCAGTCAGAGCAGAATTCCATTAGGGAACAAACTGGAAAGGCTTGGACTGTGGCTGCATCCCATCTTCAGGACCCCCTCTCCAACAGACTGGAGGTTCTCAATACCAGGCCTGGTATTTCAGTCCATTCAGTTTTAGCAGAGAATTATTCTGATCATGAAGATGCCCTTGTGCTAGGGATGTAGCTCTGTGGTAGTTTGCCTAGCATGTGTAGGGGTCCTGTGTGCAATCCCCAGCACCAGCCTCTTAAAAAGGGGAAGAGGGGCTGGGGAAATGAGTTAGTGGGTAAAGTACTTGCTGTGCAAGCATGTGGACTGAGTTTGAATTCCCAGAACCCACCAATATTCCCACAGTTGATGAGACATAAAGACGGGATCCTGGGGTGGGCCATCTAGTCAGAATATGGTAACAAACAGACTTGTCTCTAACAAGATGGAAGGTAAGAACCAACACTAACATACACACAAAAAATAATAGCAAAAGTTCAAATATATCACCTGTGCATGGTGGTTCATGACTATAATCACAGAACTTTGGAGACTGAGGTGGGAGAATAACAAGTTCGAAATCAATATGGGGTACAGAGACTCTGTCTCAAAAGATAACCACAAAGACACTCTTGCACTGTCAGTGAAGCTAAGGATTTTATAATCCTGTAAGTGGTCTGTGGTAAGTTTTAGGAAGTTAAATATTGGCTGAAGAATATGCCAGATAAAGATCTCCTCTAACTCCTCTGGTCTACTAACCCTTTAAAACATGTCTTCAGTATCGGCACTCAGGAAGTAACCTGGTCTACATAGTAACCATGTCTCAAAAAATAAAATAACTTTTAAATAAGCATTCCAAATGAAGAACATCCTCTTAAAGCTGATGCACTTGGTTAAAACTTCATAAATATTTATACCCTAAAAGTAATCTTTTTTGGCAGGGCACTCAAGAGGCCCTAAATTTCCAGACCAGCCAGGGCTACATAGTGAGACCCTGTCTCAAAAAAATGGTAACCCTTTAGAGACAGGATCTTATGTTGCCCAGGGTGGCCTCAAACTCCCCTTATGGCTAATTTCTGATCCTCCTGCCTCCAATTCCCAAATGCTGAGACTGCAAGAACTGCAGTACTGGGAATGGAACTCCAGGCCTCATGCATGCTAGGCACTCTACCAGATGAACTACACCCTCAGCAGGTGCCCTAAACTTATGAAAAAAAATAAGACTTGGCTCCGCTATTAACAGCACTGGCTGCTTTTGCAGAGGACCCAGGTTCGATTCCCAGCATTCACATAGTGGCCAACAAAAGTCTGTAACTCCAGTTCCAGGAGAATCCAACACCCTCTTCTGACATGAAGGTATAACACTTATATACATAAAATAAAAATAAACAATTTTTTTTTTTTTTTTTTGGTCTTTTTGAGACAGGGTCTTCCTGTAGTCCCAACTGGCCTGGAACTCTTTGTAGACCAGGCTGGCCTAGAACTCACAGAGATCCACTTGCCTCTGCCTCCCAAGTGCCGGGATTAAAGATGTGGGCCACCACGCCCAGCTATAAAATGTCTTTTTAAAAAGAGAAAAGAAAAATACCGTTACTACCATATATCAAAGGTGTGCTATGATCATAAAACTCCAATCATCCCCAAGTTTCAGGTTAAAGCATGAAAGGATTGCAAGCGCCCTCCCCCCGCAATAGTGCATGTGTGGACTGCCGGAAAGCCGAAGGCTTTCTCCACGCCTCGGTGCCCTCAGGCGACCTAAAAGCAGAAAGGCAATGACAGCACACAGCAGTCAGCCCCTACTTAACCTCCCCAAGGGCGTCTGTCCTCCTGGGCCTCGGAAAGGCGCCAGCAGGCCACCGCCACCAGGTGAGGTCCGGTCAGAAGCCTTCTCCGGAGAGCGACTCAACCAAGAGGGCTCCAGCTCCGAAAGACGACGTGGACAAACCACGGGGGGCGGGGGGGGGGGGACCTGCAACCCAGCTGAGGAGGGGCAGGGGCGAGGGGCGCATTACCCGAAGGAACTTCATGGCCACCAGGCGGAACCCCTTCTGCTCGAAGCGCTTGATGATCTCGCCCACCAGGCCGCGTTGCACGCCATCTGGCTTGATGGCGATGAAGGTGCGCTCGAGGTTGGCCATGGTCCTGCGGGGCAAGAGGGGCGATCAGGACGCACGCCCCGGCTGAACTAAGGCGGGAGGGGGGGGGTAGGCCACGTGGGCAGCGCCGGGGACACGTGGGCCTCCCAGGCGACTCGGGCCCACCCGGGCCTGCACCCAAGGCCCACGGAGAGGGCGCTGCAGGGGCACGGGTAGGACCTGTGGGGAACTGGGACAGGTTGGAGGGGGGCGAGGGCGGGGTCGGAGTGCGCCCCAGCCTTACCCGAAAGCTGCGGGATGAGCGCGAGGCTGAGAGGCGCCGCGGAGAGACGCGAGGGTCCACCCGGCCGCGCGGTCAGCAGAGGAGGGGGTGGGGGCGGGGCCGCCACTCCCAGGAGGAGCGCCCGCCCAACCCGGGACGCTCAGCGGACAGGATCGGCCAGTCGGATTCGTCCCCGCCCGGCACCCCGCCGTGCCCGTCCTCGCCTTGCAAGGCTGCAGGGAACCGCGAGGCAGGAAGTGATTTGTTCCCTACCGCGGCCTCCTAAAAGCTCAGCTGCTACACATTCCAACTCCGGGGAATACCTGCTACTGAACTTGAATTCTTGACTCCTGGCCACATTATCTGCCTTCATTCTCCCTCGCAGCACTGGACCCTCCTCCCTTCCCTATAGTACCCCCAAGTCCTTCCCACCTCTGAAATTCAGCCCTCTGGTACTTTTCCCTTTACTTGACCAAGCCTTCAGCCTTCCTCATCCACACTGACCACCTCCCCCAAGGCTGAATCTCTCTCCAGCCAAGACTCCCTCAGTCCCCTCCTCAAAAGGCCATCTGCTCTGGTCTCTGCCTTGTCTCAGAATGGCTTTCAAACTCCTAGAAAGGCAACCTATGCCTTTGATCTGCTCCTGGCTACACATCTCCCCAGCCCCCATCAGCCACCCTGTATCCACCAGAAACTGGAATTCCTGCCCACCCAACACTGTGTGTAGTCACATCGTCCACTTCCAACCTGAGACACCCGCTAGCAAGATTCTAGATTTTCCGAAAGTTGAAAGCTAGCCAGGTCACCTTAAGACTGTCTCAAATCCCAGCATTTTAGAGGTGGAAGCAGGAAATCAGGAGGTCAAAGGCAGCTCAGACACTTGGTGGGTTCCAGGTCACCCCGGGCTACATGAGACTAAAAATTACAAAATGTAGCAGCCAAGCGTGGTGTCACCCACCTTTAATCCCAGGACTTGGGAGGCAGAGGGTGGTGGATCTCAAGTTCTGTGAGTTCAAGGCCAGCCTGGTCTACATAGCGAGTTCCAGGCAGCTGGGATTACAGGGAGACCCTGTCTGAAAAAAAATAAAAAATAAAAATCAAGGGATAAGGATTTATCTAGTAGAGTGCTTGCTTAGCATGCACAAGGCCCTGGGTCTGACTGCCAGCACCACATACACTGGGCATGGTGCATGGTGGCTCATACTTTTAATACCAGCAGGATCAAAAATTCAAAGTCATCCTTGCCTACATAAAGAACTGGAACCAGTAGTGGTGCATGCCTTTAATCCCAGCACTCTGGAGGCAGAGGCAGGCAAATCTCTGAATTCAAGGCCAGCCTGGTCTACAAAGTGAGTTCCAGGCCAGCTGGGGTTACAGGGAGACCCTCAAAAAGAAAGAAAAAAGGAACTGGAGACTAGTCTGGACTACAAGAGAACGCGTCTCAAGGGGGGGAGGGGGTTGGAGGGAATAAAGGGCTGAAGACAGAACTCAATGGCAGGCACACTTCTTTAGCAGGAACAAGACATTGGGTTCAGTCCCCAGTACTACAAAGTCTATATTCTCAGAAGTTGGGTCTGTCAACTTACAGACATTCCCCACCCTCCCATCTGCTTGGCAAACCATTAGTCCCCTACTGGTCCCCACCCCCATGCCCACAGCTACTTTGTGTCTAGACAACATAAATTACTGAGTGCCTTGACCTCTCTGTGACTCAGCTGCAATAGGCTTGAGTTAAACTGGGTCCTGGCACCCTCCCAAGTACAATAAAGATCTTTAGGGTGTTGCCCAGTGCACTGAGACTGGCCCAGACTGAGCCAAAAAACATTTTTTTAATATTCTATGTATTATTTTTATTTTGTGTGAGTATACTTACTGCCTGTACGTAGATATGTGCACCCACATTCTGCAATGTCTGTGGAGGTCAGAAGAGGGCATCAGACTCCCCTGGAACTGGAGTTATGGAGTTATGGACGTCATGTGGGTGCTGGTAATGGAACCTGGGTCCTCTGCAAGGGCTGCCATGCCACTGAGCCATGTCTCCAGCCCCGCCAAACTCTATTCCATGACCCCTTGCTGAGGACTTGCTTAGGTTGAACATCCCTGTCCCCTCTCTGACCATTAGGATTAGCTACTGCCCTCCTGGTACCCCACACACTTTACACTGGCCACCTTGGTGTATTGTTTCTTTGAGAAACAGGTACCATCTTGAGATGGTTTAGGGTAACTCTAGCCTCAGTGGTTCCCCACTTCTCTGGAGATATCAGCAAGCTTTCCTCTCAGTGTACCATACACTGAAATCTGCATAGCAGAACATACTGCCCCAAGATGGGAGTGCCCATGACTCCCCAGAATTCTGACCTCAAGACTCGGCCATCACCTTAGTGGTTCCAGCACCACTGATAACCTGTAAAGACCAGAATGAGGGCAGATCAGGCCTCTGTTTTTCCTCATCAGCTTCTCAAGCCTCTGTCAGAGCACTGACCTACACTGGTATGACTTGCCTTCAGTTTAGGGCAGTTTCCTTCACCCTCAATCTGAAGCACACTTGTTTGCTTGGTTGTTGTTTTGGTTTGGGTTTTTAATTTTTTTTTTTTTTTTTTATGTGTATGAGGGTACTGCCTGCATATAAGTACTGCCTGCATATAAGTGTACTGCCTGCAATGCCCATGGAGATGAGAAGGCAGTATAGGATCCCCTGAAACTGGAGTTATGGACGGTTGTTAGGTGCCATGTGGGTACTGGGAATCAAACCTGGGTCCTCTACAAGAGCAGTCAGCGCTCTTAACCACTGCACCATCTCTCTAGCCCATGGTTTTTTTTGTTTGGTTTTTTTTTTTTGAGACTGGGTCTCCCTGTAGCCCCAGCTGAACTATGTAAACCAGGCTGGCCTCAATCTCAGACACACCTGCTTCTGCCTCACAAATGCTGGGATTAAAGGCATGTGCCATCACACCTGACAAAGATTTACTTTTTTTTTTTTTTTTTTTTGAGACAGGATCTCCCTATAGCCCCAGCTGTCCTGGAACTCACTATGTAGACCAGGCTGACCTTGAACTCACAGAGATACACCTGCCTCTGTCTCCTGGGTGCTAGGATTAAAGGCATGTACCACCACGCCTGGCAGATTTACTATTTTTATGTGTTTTTGTCTGGATGTATGTAAGTGTACCACATGTGAACAACACACAGAGGCCAGAAGAGGGCATCAGATCCCCTGAAACTAGAGTTACAAAGGGATGTGAGCAACCATGGGGGTGCCTGTAACTACCTACACTAGGCTGACCTCAAATCTGCTGATCCTCCTGCCTCTACCTCCCAGTTACTGGGATTATTTGCGTGTGCCACTATACTCAGCTTTGTGTTTTCGTTTTGGAGTTACCAAATGTCAACTGTCCCGAGAGTCTGTCCAGTAGAGAGCCATCTCAATAGTCAATACCATGTCACTTGACACCAACCTAGCATCCCAGGTCTCCAGTATACACAGCTTTTCTGATTGGGAGGTTAATTACAATGTCTCGCACTCTTCAATCTCTTCCTAAGAGCATCTCAAGAACAGGATGGGTATTTTATTCTTTTCTTTTTAAGACAAAGTCTTATGCAGCTCAGGCTGGCCTTGAACTCACTGTGTAGCTGAGGACGACTCTGAGCTTCTGATCCTCCTGCCTTCACCTCCTGAGTGCTGGAATTACAGTGAGCCACCACACCCAATCTATGTGGTACCGGAAGTGGAACCCAGGGCTTTATGCATGCTACTGAGATATATCCCAGCCACCCCCACACCCTTTTTTAAGACAAAGTAGTCCAGGCTGACCTGCCTTGGTCACAGTGCTGAGATTAAAGGCATGTACCACCACCCCCTGCTTCAGCACAGTCTTAACAAGCTAACACATCTTTCAGATACTTGCTAACTAGCTCAGTGCCAAGAGTGAACAGGATTCAGGGGATTAGATGGGAGACAGGCAAAGAGCCCAGGGTGGTGCCTCACACCTGTAATTGCAGCATTCCAGAGTTTGAGGTTAGCCTGAGCTACATAGCCCAACTCTGTCTCAAAAAGACAATAAAAAAGAAAGTCAATGTGTATGTGAGGCCAAGCAATTTACATTGTTACCTCAGGCTCCATGGAAGGAAGAGGAGGAAATAAAGACTGCAAAGCAATACAGAAATACCAACTAACCAAGTCACCTAACCCTACACCAGGATGGAGTATTTTAATCTAATGGGAGCACGTAACACTGTACAGGGAGCACTCGTAGCTCCAGAATTTCCTTCTAAGTTATAAGGAAGTTCCAGAAATAACTAGATTTGCTACAATCTGGCCCCCTGCCATGGGAACGGGAGGAGTAGATGGGAAGAGCACGATGGCCTGCCCTCCAGTCACTCATAGATCCAGTCCTGTGCACAGCTCTTGTAATCCACGAGTTCCTCAGGCCGAAACCATAAGCTGATCTCCTTCTCTGCACTCTCCACAGAATCACTGCCATGAATGATGTTCCTGGGTAGGAAGAAAGGGCATCATTATCCAGACCAGAAAGATGAACTGCCCACAAGCCCTCTGCACTCCCACCACAGAGAGCCACAGCCAAGGCAGCAGAAAAGCCACACCTTCCCATATCTCTGAATTTAAGAACACATCAAACACAAAAATAACAAAAAAAAAAAAATCAAAAGAACAACTTTCTGTGAGCAGACTTCCCAGCAACACCCACACCAGCAGTGAGAACCTCTGGGGTGGGCTCTGACCAGGCTCTACCATCAAGAGAGAAATAGCCAAAGGGATAAAACCAAACACAGAGATCCCTCGAAGTCAGCCACCACCTTCACAGGTAGAAAGACAAAGAACTCCCACTTAAAACTGACTCGCGGACAGGTGAAGTGGCACATACCTGTAATCCCAGTATTTCAAAGACAGAGACAAGAGGCTCAGAAGTTCAAGGATAGCCTCTAGTACATAGGCTGGTCTGAGACCAGCCTAGGCTACCTGAGCTCCATCTCAAAAAACAAAACTAAACACAAACACTAAACTAACATAAAAACAATTGACTTGACTTGCAGATGACATCATGTCTTCTAGACTCAGAGGCTGAAATTCTTGTAACAACTAAGGTGGACTTTGGAAAAGGGTGAAAAACACCAATTCTCACCTGCCGACTTGGATGCAAAAGTCTCCACGAATGGTCCCAGGCTTCGAATCCGCAGGGTTGGTCTCCCCAAGCATCACTCGGCCTGTCTTTACAACATTCAGCCCCTCCCAGACCTCCAGGGACAAAAGAAGAGGTGGTCAAGGAAGAAAGGCAATCTCAGAAAACCTGGCTATCTACTACTTCCAAACAAAAGAAAAGGCTCCGTGAGAGGCCCCTCTACTGCTCTAGAATGCCTCTTACTCCATTGTCTTTCCACACTCCATTCTGGACATGGCAACCAGACTGGCCTTTTTTTGCTAAGTGTGGCACCTCCCATAGTGTCCCAACACCAATGACATGACAGCAGAGCCCTTACATCATGTGGTCCCTGAACACTTTTCATCCTAGCTTCCCTCTTCCCACCAGGCTTTAGCCATCCCAACCTTCTTCTGTACTTTAAAAAGTCAAGCTGGGGGCTAGAGAGATGGCTCAGTGGTTAAGAGCACTTGCTGCTCTTGCAGAAGACCAAGGTTCAGTTCCTAGCACCCACCATGGCAGACAAAATGGATATCTATCTTCATAGCTTTCATTCTTTTGGGTTTTTTTCTTTAAAATGTCATTTTATTTATTTATTTATGTGTGCATGTGGGGTAGGGATGTGCCTGGGCCATGGCATCACATGTGGAGGTCACAGGATTACTTGTGGGAGTTGGTTCTCTCCTTCCACCATGTGGGTCCTGGGGATCAAACTCAGGTTGATAGGCTTGGTGGTAAGTGCCTTTACTCATTGAGCAAACACACCAGGCCACATTCTTTCTTTTTTCAAATGGTTGAGAAAGGGTCTTACTATGTAGTCCAGCCTGGTGTCCTGGAACTCACTACCTATCCCAGGCTGGACTGGAATTTATGAGTATCCTACCTCTACTCACAATGTGCTGGGTTACAGGTGTGCACCATGCCTGATACAACTTGGTTTCTTGGTTTGTTTGTTTTTATAAAACAGGGTCTTATATATAGACCTGGCTGGCCTGGAACTCTGTATGTAGACCAGGCCTCAAACTCACAGAGATCCACCTGCCTCTGCTTCTTGAGTGGAATTAAAGGTGTGTATCACCAAGCTCCGCTTTATTATTTTTAATTTTTATTTTATGTGTATGAGTGTTTTGCCTATATGTATATATCTGCATCATGTGCACGCCTAGTACTCGTGGAGGACAGAAGAGGGTGTCAGATCCCTTGGAACTGGAGTTACAGACAGTTGTAAGCTGCCATGTGGGTGCTGAGAATTGAACCCAGGTCCTCTGCAAGAGCAACAAGTGCTCTTAACTACTGAACCACCTTTCCAGCCTCTAAGTCATACATTCTTAAATAAGTGCTTCTGCAATAGGCAAGAGATAAGCTCCCTGCCCTCCAGGGGCATCAAGCACGTCTCTCTTGACTTCTCCCAGCCTTTGGTCTTCAGCTCAGCAAGCAAATAAGTATCTTCTTGGGTGGGTCAGAGAGCCAGTTCCCATCCTAACTGACCATTTTGCCTACTCTTATCCTCTGCAGCAATGAGGACTAGGCATCCAACATAGTAAATGTGGCATTTATGCTCCTCTATTCCCGAATAAGCCATTCCCTTCAACATCCCACACAGGCATGCTTACCATGGCAACCACTGGCCCTGAATGCATGTATTTCACAAGGCCGGTAAAGAATGGGCGGTCCTTCAGGTCAATGTAGTGCTCCTTGAGAAGGTCTTCCGAAGCCTATTCCACAGGATGGACAGTGAGAACTGGTACCAGACTCCTGAAGAACCAAGTAGCTATTCCCCCTTATCCCCTCTTGCTGTTCAAAATAATAGCGCACAGCTAGCTGGTGAGCTATAGCCAGATTCATCCTCCACATTACCAGAGGGGAACGGGCAGTGTCAGGAACGAAAATAAGATAACTTAGAATCGAATCCAACCAGTTGGGTTTGACAGTGCACACTTGTAATCCCAGCACTTGGGAGACAAATGCGGGAGGATCACAAGTTTGAAGCCAGTCTAGGCTAGCACTAGACACTGTCTCAAACAACAAAAAAGAATCCAATCCAGCCAACTCATGTTAGAAGGGAAAGGTAACATTACAATCAATTTTTACTCCCAGAAAATACCCCAACTAAATGTAGAGGAAAGCAAGGGAGGTAGTCTCCATATTCAGTGAGCAGCAAACAACTGGCCATCACCCATGGGCACCTGACATTTATTCAGAGGCTAAAGGCCCAATGTGGTAACCCTGTAATTCTCACAGGTATCTGTAAACTACCTAAACTACATCAGCAAGAAATAATTTTTATAAACAATGAGTTATAGCCAGAGTGGTAGCACATGCCTGTAATCCCAGCACTTGGAAGACAGAAGCAGAAACATCAAGGAGTTCAAGGCCATGTGCAGCTACATAGTGAGTTTGAAGTCAGCCATGGCTACATAAGACCCTATCTCAAAACGGGCAGGGGTGGAGGTGGGGGTGGGAGGGGGTAGAAGCATAGAATTAGAATCTCTCACACTGCAGTGCTGGTATGTGGAAACAAATCAAGTTAGATAGAGAGCAAACCACCTGCCTAGTTTGAACTCAACTTGGCTGTGTACTCTCTGCCACTGTATCTACCCCTGCAGGGGTCTAGCAGCATCCCTTGGTTTTCCCACTTCTGTAGATCATCATACAAAGCATAGTGCTGCTTAAGATCCAGAATAATCTACTCTTCAGCCACTGCTTGATCACTACCTGCCAAAGTAAAATTATACAGCCTGTGATCACTCCACAATGGGGACCCACCCTGATTCTTCCTAACGAAAGGCTTGCAGAGGTACCCTCCTAATACATGTGGACTTGATGTTCCCTTACCAGGATACCCTTTAAATTCTGGTAATTGAGTCCAATAATCTTTAACCAGGAAATCTGATCATATATGCTTTTTATTGGGGTTGGGGAGTAAAGAACCTCGAGCTTTCCCTTATTTCTCAAATCCACAAAAGATTTAGCAGCCTTTAGAGTCATGGTGGGTATCTCTGCTTCCACTCTTCAACAAACCCACATCCTTAACAGAAAAGCCAGCGTAAGACCCAAGTTACAATGTCAGCCACATCACTGTCACCAGGCAAATTATCTAACCTCTCCAAGCCTCAGTTTCCTCCTAATAACCATGAGAACAGAAGTAAGTACCTTCAGAGTTGTCATGAGAAATGGAAGAAGAAAACACATATGTTCAGCAGACACCACATGCCTGGTTAACAACTGGTTCATTTTATTTTATCTTCAAAACCTGTATTTATACACAAACCCACCTCTAGCTGTCATTATTCCACCATGCTCTCCCCTTAGCATTCTGACCCCTTTTGCTAAAATATTATACTAGAACTAAATTGGGGCCTGGAAAGATGGCTCAGCAGTTAAGAGCCCTTGCTGCTACTACAGAGGAACCGTGTTCGAGTCCCAGCAGCCACAGGGCGGCTAACAACTGTCCATAACTCCAGTTCCACGGGATCCAATGCCCTCTGCTGAGGGACCCAATGCCTCTTCCACAGGCATTGTACAAGGGTGCACTTACATACATGTAGGCAATACTCACATACACATAAAATTAAAATAATAAATAAAATATTTTAAAAACTAAATTGCAAGCCGGGCGTGGTGGTGCATGCCTTTAATCCCAGTACTCGGGAGGCAGAGGCAGGCGGATCTCTGTGAGTTCAAGGCCAGCCTGGTCTACATAGTGAGTTCCAGGACAGCTGGGGCTACAGGGAGACCCTGTCGCAAAAAGACAAAAAAAAAAACTAAAGTGCAAATCAAACTAAATTTAAAATTTAGGAGTCAAATTTTATTGTCTTCATGGGAAAAACAATCTCCCTAATTTATTTGCTTTGAGAATTAGAATTAAAATATTTTAGATTTGTTTGAGGAAGGGATCTTTGCCAATCAATCCTTTGCATTTATTGAAATATTGTTAGCTGGGTGTGGTAGCTCATACACATAATCCTAGCACTCAGGATACTGAGGAAGGGAAATGTACTACTAATAATACATTATTAAGTGCTTCTGATTTTTATTCCCTGTTGTGTCAGAGGAGCACCCCATAAGTTAAGTTATAGCTTTCTATCAAAATCCCAAGTATCATGTTAGACATTATCATGCAATAATTGATAAAGCAAGAAAAACAACCTACACCTTCAAAGAAGGGGAAAGCTCTCTAAAATTATCTGTTTAGGAAGCTAAAAACCAAAAACTTCAAAACACCCAGAGCTGAGGCAGAAATTACAGTGTTGCAGTAATATGTAGGACTCTCTGTTGCAGGGAAAAGACAGGCTATTTTTGAAAGTCCCAAATAACTTGGTTTGTTCCAAGATTTAGCTTAAATGCTTAGTCACTGAGAGGTTTTAGGTTCTAAGACATTCTACCATGCAGCAGTCAAAAACAGAGATGAGACAGAGAACTTAATCTACAATATTCCACCATCCTCCAAAGGAGTTAAAAAGAGGAAGAATGAGGCCCACATACCTGCATAAATTTCAAACCAACAAGGCGGAATCCCTTCTGTTCAAAACGCTTGATGATCTCTCCTACAAGCCCCCGCTGGACCCCATCGGGTTTGACAGCAATGAACGTACGCTCAGCGTTGGCCATGGTCCTGGGATAGGCAAGCAAGGGAATGAAACAACACTGAATCACCAGCCCCATCATTATCCTTTCCAAGCAGATTACTTCCATAAAACTGGCTTAAATCTGTCATGCCCACCCCATGTCCAGCCCAGTTCCCTCATAAATAAACTAATACCCTAAAGTAGGGAAGGATACAAAAGCATGAACTATATTTCTATTGCATTTGATTTAATAAGTTTTTTTTTTTTTTTAGTCTTTTTGAAACGGGGTCTCCCTGTAGCCCCAGCTGTCCTGGAACTCACTATGTAGACCAGGCTGGTCTTGAACTCAGAGATTCACCTGCCTCTTCCTCCCGAGTGCTGGGATTAAAGGCATGCACCACCACGCCTGGCAATAAGCTCCTGTTAAGTATCTACTATGTACCCAATACTGTGACAGAATTAAGGAAGCATATGTAACTCTAAGACCCCTCCCCCCCAAAAAAGGACACCACTTCTCTTAGTATTTCAAATCGGAGAAAACTGCACTGATGTGGTTTTACTAATATGGAAATGATGTCTGGTGCAAGGCAGTTTGACCTACTGCCACAGCCTTGACAATAGAACTGGCAAGGATTTTAGAAAATATGTCACAATAGCCATCTTCATTTAAAAAAGACCCAGGACCAAAGCATCAGAATGAGGATCCAAATCCAGATTTTTCAACCCTCTACAGTAAAGGCTCCACCTTCAAATGTAATGAAAATTCCAAGCTTGGGGATACATTCCAGTAATGTCCACCATTAGGAAGGCTAAAACAAGAGGACAGAATTCCAGGCCAGCCTGGGCAACGTAAGAACCTAACTGGAAAAAAATGATAAAAGAAAAACACAGCTGGGCATGGTGGCATGTACCAATGAGCCCAACCTGAGCTACTTGAGACCATGTCTCAACACACACACACACACACACACACACACACACACACACACACACCACCACCACCACCACCAACAACAACAACAACAACAACAATAATCCACAACAACCTAGGGGGCTGGAGAGATGGCTCAGCAGTTAAGAGCACTGACTGCTCTTGCAGAGGACCCGGGGGGGGGTGAAGTAATTTTCTTCCATGGTGTCCCTCACCAATGCTCACGCAAGCACCCCTAATAAAGGTCAATGAATTACCAAAAATACTGAAGAAAAACATGAAAGCAGGAAGGGACTTGTTGGGGAAAAAATGGTTCAGAAGCAGCTAAGGGCAATGGGAAGGAGGAGTGAATAGCCAAAACATATTATACACATGCATAAAAACTGTTGGAGATGAGCCGGGCCTGACGGCTCAGGCCTGTTGTCCCAGCACTCAGGAGGCAGAGGCAGGCGAATCTCTGTGAGTTCAAGTCCAGCCTGGTCTCCATAGTTGTTTCAGGCCAGCTGGGGCTGCAGGGAGACCCTGTCTCAAAAAGACCAAAAATAAAAATTGTTGGAGACTCGCCCGGCATGGTGGCACATGCTTATAATCCCAGCACTCGGGAGGCAGAGGCAGGCAGATCTCTGAGTTTGAGGCCAGCCTGGTATACATAATCGAGTTCCAGGCCAGCTGGGGTCTACAGGGAGATCCTGTCTCAAAAATAACCCCCCCCAAAAAAATTGTTGGAGACTAAAAAAGCAAAAATTTTAGGACTATTACACAATAATAGCAACTAGCATTCATTAAACACTATGTACTGGGCAAAAAAAAGATGCAGTGAGTCACGTGACTACCCAATCAACAGTGAATTGTGACAAAACAGCCATGAGTAATACCTAATATGGGACATCGCCCCAGGCAATAAGAAGTCTGGAGCTCATCCACTTTAGAACCTACCTTATTTTTTCAGAAAAGACTGTCTCACAAGGGGAGTTTTTGATCTTGAAAGACAATCCCTAAAAGAATAGCAACACCCCCTCCTGGCTCCACGTTCCTGAATTTGAGTTAACCTCATATGCTGTACCTTAGGAACCAAGCCTGAGGCATGACAGCATTTGTACTGCATGGCAGGCTACCTGAGTTCCACTCCTGGAACCCACATATAAAGTGGATGGAAAGAACCCGCCCCACAAAGTTGTCCTCTGATCGCCACATGGGTGCTATGGGGGCCAAAAATAAAACTTTTAAGGGATCTGGAACTGGTGGTGCAGGCCTTTAATCCTGGCTACTCTAGAGACTGAGGCAGGATGAAAAGTTCAAGGCTTACCTTACCTGCAAAGTTCAAGGCCAGTCTGGGCAAATTTAATGAGCCTTTGTCAAAAAATAGTTTAGAAAAATAAAACTTAAAAAAAAATGGGGGGCAGGTGAGACATTTAGCTCAGTGGTATAGTGCTTGTCTGGGTTCATTCCCCAGTACCGGAAGGAGGTTGATGTCTGTCTCCCGCTCAGTGAGCTGCATACAGACTTGCTTTACTCCTGGCATCTAGTCACAGGGCTAGCAATCGTGAGGACAAAGAAAATGCCTTAGATGGCAACCACTCCACCCTCCAAGAAGACAGACAAAGCGACTGAACTCACAGAGGGAGGAGCGGGAGAACCCCTGAAGAACGTGGAGCAAGCACGGACTCCTCCGAGAGCGACCTACGATTGGAGAGCCGCCGCTCCCGCCGTCCCTCGCCCTAAGCCTCTCCGCACCGACAGCACACACACGCGCGCACATAGGTCATCATTCAGCAAGCACTGCGTGGGCACCACCCCTGTGCCCAATACCGGACTGGAAGGGGAACAGGGCACAGCCCGGCCGTCGCGCCTGGCCGGAACCGCAGCCACCGACAAAGGCGAGCGCACGTGGCGCGCGAGACTGCAGGTCCGCACCTGTGCACAGACGCTCCGGCGACGGCGGTAGCCTCGTCTCAGCAGAGCTCACCCGTCATTAACCCTTACTCCCCTCTCCACGTACCTGAGCCCTCCACCCGATGCCTTTCCCACAAGACCCCTTCTCACCCCTTCAGCCGCTTGCGATTTAACTCCGGCTCCGACTTCCCGCACCGGAAGCGCGCCCGGGTCCCACGTAGTTCCCACCATCTGCATGCACGGAACCTTGTACAGTTCGGTTGCAGGAGGGCTCTTGCTCGTCCACGCTTCCTCTAGTGAGTCGGACATCATTCTGGGGAGCACTATTCCCATCCTTGACTTCCGGCACTGATTTTTTTTTCTGGCGCTTCGGTCTGGCCGCCATCTTTTGTTCCTTTCCTAGGATCCTGTGACTCACTTCCTTCGTTCCTGAGCAAATTTGACTTCCCTGGAGGTGGCGCTCGCTCTGCATGAACTCGGAGCTAGCTCCGGACCACGTAGACTTGTTCCTGCTTCCAGTCACCCCTACGTCCTGTATAGCAAGCAGTTATTTAGTAAATGCTTATTGTGTCTAGCAAACACCTTTGTAGCACCTGGGGATAAAGCAGTAAGCTCACTTAGGGCTTCTGGAAGAGTTGAGAACTAGGACAAAAAATTAAAAAAAGGAAGTTGATAGCTAACAGTATTATATAAGTGCAACAAACCTGCGGTAAATGGTGAATCTGCGAAAGTAGTAATCAAGTAGATCTACGTGAGGAAACAGGCCTGATCATCTGAGAATCAAAAATTATAGTGGCCACAGAGTAGGAGAAAATACAATAAGAGGATTTTTTTATTTTAATGAAGAGGCAGGGCTGTAGTGTTGCTCAATAGGAAAAGCCTTGTCTCCCAGCACTAAGGAGGCTGAGGCAGGAGGACTGAGACTTACAGACCGGTGGGTAGAGTGCCTAAACATGCGCAAGGCCCTGGTTTTGAGTCCTAGCACCACATAAATTCCTGCAATCCCAGCACTTGGGAAGTGGAGGCAGGAGGATTAAATTCAGTCATCCTCAGCTGCACAATGAGTGTGAAGTCAGCCTAGATTACAAGAGACTCTGTCTTAAGAAAAGGGGAGGGGAGAGGAGGGGGAGAAAAAAGAAAAAATACTGGGTGTGGTGGCTCATACCCATGATCCTAGCACTTCTGGGGCTTCCGTAGGAGATCACCTCAAATTTAATGCCAGCTTTTGTTAAGGTTCAGATAGCTTTGCCCCCTCACCAACAGGATCCCAAGGACTTCTCATGCTCCTGAGAAAAGGAAACCTAGTTGATAAGCACCTTGGTCTTTGAAGTCAAGAGAAGCAGACTTTTCTCCACTGTTTGGCCAACACAGCAGGCTTCCCCTTTGATCTCTAAAGAGGACAGGTTTTAACAGTGTTGCTCTCCCACTCCCCCTCCAACTTTAAAAGAAAATACATCTTTCCTCCTTCTTCAGGAAGCAGAAGCCTCCCTTTTAAAAGACCCCAGCTCAAGACCCCGCCAGACATTTTCCCTGCCTGGAAGGGAATCTGTCCCATGTGTTCCTTTGCTAATAAACCCTATTTTGATGGAGTTGTATCTGCCTCGGTGCCTCATCATCCATTCGCTCCTTCTCCATCAACTTTTTACCTATCAGTTTTGACTGCATAGGGAGTTGCAGGCCAGACTACGCTACAGAATGAGACCCTTGCCAAAACCAAGGGGTGGGACAAGTGCAGACACAAAATGTTTAACATCATTAGCCAGTAGAGAAATGTGAATTAGAACCACTATGAGATATCACTATACATTTGTAAGAATACTAAAAGAAAAAATAGTAACACTTTTTTTTTTTTTTTTTTTTTTTTCCCTTTTTGAGACAAGGTTCCCCTTTACCCAGCTGTCCTGGAACTCACTATGTAGACCAGGCTGGCGTTGAACTCACAAGAGATCCGCTTGCCTCTGCCTCCCGAGTACTGGAATTAAAGGCGTGTGCCATCACGCCCGGCCCTAGTTTTTTATTAATTTTATTTTATTTATTTATTTTTGTCTTTTTGAAGGAGGGTCTCCCTGTAGCCCCAGCTGTCCTGGAACTCACTATGTAGACCAGGCTAGCCTTGAACTCACAGAGATCCGCCTGCCTCTGCCTCCCAAGTGCTGGGACTACAGGCGTGGGCCACCACGCCCAGCTATCACTCTTAGCTTTCGGAAAGCTAAATCGGGAGGATCAAAAGTTCAAGGCCAACCTGGATACAATAGCAAAAATCGTGTCCTAAAGTTGGGAGTGGCAGAGGCAGGAAAATCCAGAGCTCAAAGTTATCCTTGACTACATAGCAAGTCAGAGACCAGCCTGAGCTACATGAGACCCTATCTCAAAAAACGAAAACAAAAACTCCTTGTCCTAAAACAAAAAGAAATAAAAAGTAATAATAACACCAAATGTTCTTCATGGCATGAAGAAACAGTTTCCAGATTACTAGTGGGAATTTAAATTATATAACCACTCTTTAAAAATTGAGGAGGTGGGAGTGGGGTTGGAGAGATTGCTCAGAGCACTTACTCTTCTGGAGGATCTGGATTCAGTTCTCAGCACCAACATGACAGCTCACAACTGTCTGTAACTCCAGTTCCAAAGGATATGATGTCCTCTTCTGACCTCCATGGATACTGCATGCATGTGGTACACTTATATAATAAAGGAAAAACACTCATAAAATAAAAATATTTAATAAAAATTGAGGCGAGGGCTAGTAAAATGGTTCAGCATGTAAATGCACAAGCCTGGCAACCTGAGGTTGAGAGCCATAGCCCTGATAAAGGTGGAAGGAGAAAACCAACTCTATGAGGTTGTCTTCTGACCTGTGTGTGTGATACATGTAACACACACACACACACACACACACACACACACACACACACACTATAAAAACACTAAGGCCGGCGTGGTGTCGAACTCCTTTTAATCCCAGCACTCGGGAGGCAGAGACAGGCGGATCCCTGTGAGTTCAAGGCCAGCCTGGTCTACATAGTGAGTTCCAGGACAGCTGGGGCTACAGGGAGACCATGTCTCCAAAAGACCAAAAAAAATTAATTTTTTTTAAAGGTGAACAGGGCCAGAGTGGTGGCTCAACACGTAAAGGTAATGACCTGAGTTCAATACTCAGAACCCATATGGCAGAGAGAACTGGCTCCCTGAAAGTTGTCCTCTGACCTCCATACATGTGTTGTAGCACACGGATGCCCCCCCATAAACAAATAAATAAATGTAAATACACACACACACACACACACACACAAAAGTTGAATGGGATTTGGGGGACTGTGGGTTTTTGTTTGGGATGTGTGCTGCTACATGTCAAACCCAGGTCTTTGGGCATGATAGGTGAGCACTCTACCATTAAGCTATCCCTAGCCTTGGTTTTTTGAGACATGGTCTCCCAATGTTTCCTATGCCGGCCTCTGCCTCCACCTCCAGAGTGCTAAACATAACCATTACTGGCTGTCCATTTCTTATAAAACAAATCATATACTTACCATATGACTGGGTAATTGCATTCTTAGACATTTATCCCCCCCCCCAAAAAAATGAAAGTTTCTGGTTACTTATGTGCACAAATGTTCATGGCATCTTTATTTCCAGTGGCCAAAACCCAAATAGAAATGACACAAATGTCTTTTATCAAGTGAACAAACCATGGTATAACCTTACCATAGTGCATTATTCAACAACTGAAGATTTTAAATAAGGGGCAGGGGAAATGGCTCAGTGGATAAATTGCTTGCTGCCCAAGAATGAGGACCAGAGGTTGGATCCCTAATATCCCCATAAAAGCCAGGCAGGCATAGAAGTTGAAATCCCAACCCTTGTTTGGGAAGGAGGCAGAGACAGAATCTGCAGGCCAAGCCAGTTAAACAGACTAGCCAGTGAGCTCTGGGTTCAACAAGAGAACCTCAGAAAATAAAGTGAAGAGCAATTGAGGGAGACACCCAAAGTCAGTTTCTGGCATCCTCATGCAAGCACACATGCACACACAGGCATACACATACACAAAGGCATACATACAAACACAAAAAGGAAAAAAAACAAAAAAAAAACAAACAACAAAAAACCTACTGACACATGCAAGACCTTGAATAAATCACAAGGGAATTGTTCTAATAGAAAAAGTCACTTGCAGACTGGGGCTATAGCAAAGTGGTAGAGCATTTACCTAGGACGTGCAGGGTCTTGAGTTCAATCCTAGTACTGGAAAAAAAGCCAGTTGTGGCTAGGCACAGTATTACATGCTGATAGTCCCAGCTACTCTGGGAGGTAAGGCAAAAGAATCACTTTAGCTCAGGTGTTCAAGGCCAGCCTGGGAAACATAGTGAGACTGTACTTTCTGAAAAAAAGAAATACCACAAGAAAGCCAGTAGCAAAAATTAATATACTGTATCTTTTTCTATTTATATAGCCTTCTTTTGTGTGCAGTGGTGGTGGTGTGGATTAAATCTAGGGTCTCACATATGCTAGCCATGCATGCTACCACTGAGCTACATACATCTCTAGCCTCTGTTTAACAGTCTTTTTAAAATATTTATTTTACTTTTATTTACATGTGTATGTGTATGTGAAACTGTCCAGAAAGCCCAAATCAAGGTGTCAGATCCCCTGGAGATGGAGTTAAAGGTAGTTGTGAGCCATCTGACATGGGCACTGAGAACTGAACTCAAGTGCTCTATAAGAGCAGTATGTCCTCTCAACTCCTGAACCATCTCTCCAGCCCCTGTATAGCATTCTTAAATAACAAGATTATAGAGATAGAGAATGAATTTGTAGCTACCAGAAGTTATGGATAGAGAAGTGTTGCATGTGTCCATAAAAAGGCACCACAAAAATGTCTTGA